GTCGAAGCTACTGAACCTAGAGCCTTGAAATATGCAGGTAGGTTCTTTGTATAGCGTAAATAAGTATCAAGAAAGGAAATCAGGAATTTCCACTCCCAAAGAAGAAATCTGGGTTCAAAGACTATTGCATTTCGTCAATTTTGTCTAATATAAAATATAGTCGCAAAATCGTGTTTGTTACACCATTTATAACAGTTGGGCTAAAAAACTGAAAGGCTTTGCCTCCGATGGCGACACAACAAATATAGCGGTGATACAATTTTTTGATACCATTTTTATAGAAAGATTTGTCTTTATCCTCAGAATATGCCGCAGTTTAAACGATTACCTCTTCATCGACGCTAAATTTCCTTCCATGATACGTTTTTTAAGGTCTGAGAACAAAAATGAATCGCTGGGGACCAGATCTGGCAAATACGAAGGATATGGAAGCAATTCGAAGCCCAATCCATGTAATTTTGCCGAGTGTGCTTTGTTCACTCATTCAATCGACCGCTATGAGAGGCGGTGGTTCAAGCCGCAGTCTGAACGATCAAGTTTCACTTGCTATCGTCTAACCCGTGTTAGGAATCACACGTTGAAAGGTAAGACCTCATTAGTCCCTAGCTCGCACAAGTTTCGACTTCTGAGGGTTGCCGTTCGTAGGGATGCGACAGCTGGTTAACGGTAAACCTCTTGACCAATTTCCATGATGACAGAATGACTATTGAAATATTTGAAACAAAAAGAAAGGATGAAGCAAACTGGCGACATTCTATTTTTCATTCTTTAAGTTATGACAGTTATCATGGTGCGATAAAGTCAATTGAGAATACGACATTTTTGATTGTACGTGCATGAATAATTTTTATGTCATAACAGTAGTAAAGTCAGCAATATTCACCACACTGTTTTTCACAATGCCGTGGGTGAAAATATCGTATCTTTCACGACGAAGCCGTAATGCAATTAGGTTGCGGAATATTGCGAATCAATCCAATGCAGACGAAGAAAAAATCGTGTTCTGTGTTGCCAGGTCTACTGTTCTTCTAGTGGATCTCCTGTTTCCTTTCTCAACTACTGTTTTAGTGTTTGAGAGTTAAAATCAACTGATGAACATCAACATTTGGTATATTTGGTATATACCGAAACCGGTCTGCAAGTGTGCCCGTTCCATAATTGAAGGTCGACTCTTTCAGTTGTATTTGCCAATTGCATATGCAGGACATTTTCTGTGAAGATTCCTGCACTGACGCCTCTCTGATATAATCCAACGCCCTTCGTGGTATTAACCAGGGGAGTAGTTGTTTTCTGATCGGCGTCAGTCCATTAAACCTACTGTGTAGGTATATAGAGACTGGCTTGAACGTTTGAAGTTCCATTTGCTTTAGATTTAAAATTGGGTGATAAATTACTGAGGAGTTTGAACAAAAATCATTCTAGATCTGTCATTTTCGAGAAACCTGAAACCATTACATAGAATTGCCAGTTATATGTGATTTCAATCAAATAATGGACAGTAGTTATTAAAATCATAGATTCACCAATCTCGACTTCTATAATAATTTGAAAAATGTTTATCAATAACTTCATTTTTATTGAACTCTTTCAGTGGCCTCCGTATTTGAAGTTCTCACTGAATTGAATTTGCCAAAAGAAAGAAGTTGTTCAAAGCGAAAAAATGCGTTTTATGAAATACGGATCTAATTACGACATTCAGATTATATCCATGAGTTTCACAACCCTCCCAAAGCCAAATTTCCAACGAAAAACATATTTTAACGAATACCGTAGCGTTTCTTTGGAACCAGCAAAACTTGCGTCTGGCAGATTCTGAACGACTTGACCCAGGTTATCAGCAGTCTTGCAAGAACTCGAATATATCACAGCAGGGCCCAACCTCTCAGATACTCGTACAAAGGTAAGATTCATATCGCTGACAAGCAGTGAAACGGGTTAGGGATTTAGTTTGATAAAACTTTTGCGATATCCCTAAATTAGGCAAGACTTATCTGCTCGACTAAGACAAATTTCATCGGAGTTGGTGGTTTAGCTGCCTTGTATTCGCGGATATATTGAAAAATAAAATTGTTATTATCCTAGTTTTTGTACGTTTCGATAAGATAATCAGGAAATGCAAATTTAGAAAAGTCGAAGACTCAAAGTATATGGTCCTTCTGTATGAACCAAAATATATAAATGGATTAATAGAACATGAAAGGAATTGTCTGCAATGAGCATTGTGACAAAAAGTATGTTGGTTGAAATTTGATACACAGGGAAGCTTATATGTATTAGTCATTATTGGAAATTGCAAATCTATATTGATTTCTCTTTTTTGATATTTTCAGGATTTTTCATTTACTTGAAAATAATTTTCAAATAAGTTCTTCTTCTCCGATTATCTGTATGATTTTCATAAATGAGTGTTTTTTTGAATTAACAACAATTCGGATTTACATCCAAAAAATCAGCTGAACTGGGTCTGATTACCTACTTTGATTTTTTGTCTGATGCTCCGTCTGAGGGTTCGCAAGTTGACTCTGTGTACACTGATTTCGACAAAGTTAATCTATTGATCCATTATTATAGATTCTAATACCTTCCTAATGGTTCCGAATTGATATGATAATGAATTCAGTTTGGATATCAGTGAGTGACAGTGATTTTTCCAGTTCAGACATGCGTCAAATTGGAAACCAAGGAATGATACACAATTACTATCACTGGAAAGACTCGGTTTCGAAGAGCCATCTGAGCTGAATGTAATTTTTCCACATGATTTTTGACGGTAATAAAACCTCATTCATTTTAAAACATTGAAGCTTACGACAATTATTTTTCACATAAATGCAACTACCTAAAAATACCTATATTAATTTTTCTACTGGTCAAAAACAAATACAACGTTTGAAAGGTAGAGATATTTCGCAGTACTTTTAATGGTGGTTTTAATGAAGTATTCCACATTTTCGTAATAAAATATTCATATTAACATATCATGTCGCTTTTATCAAACTCCAGTTCACTTTAGATGAATAATTATTTCATCTTTCTGTCATTTAAAATTACAGCAAGTAGATAATATGAGCCATGAATCATTTCTAGTATATTCGCAAAAATTGACTTGTTGAGTGGAATTTGGTAGCTTTGGCGTGAAATATTGAAAAAAAAATCGCTCATCAGAACAAAATTACTGTCTCTCGACGTGCATTTTGCTAACTACGTTAGCATCATCAGGATATGACTGAGTCTTAGACTAGATCTTGATCTACTTCTGAGGATGCTAACTTGGATAGCGAAACGCGCATCGAAAGAAAGTTAGTTTGTTCTGGCGAGGAAAACGTGATTTCAATAAAAAAAATTGATTTCAGCCAGTAAAAAATGTTTTTCGCCATATCAGTGTTGTTGCAGAATAGCCAGAAATAATTAATATTTCAAATAATCTTATCAGTCAGTCGAATGATACTAGTGTTGGTTTATTGCTTTTTGCTAAAAATAGTTACAGTTTTATTTTTGGAATTTTTCCATCATTCTTTTTGCTCCTGATGAATCTGGTAAAAAACTTTTTTTGTCAGAGGTCACAACGTATCAGAATCTGTAACTCCTGAATGAAGTTTCGGTTTACGAAATTCATACAGGGTTTGCGTCAGTTGAAATGAAAATAGTTTTGTTTATCTGTGAGATGAAACAATTTACAGTGAAGTTATTGTTCGCTCTGGGAAGTTATATTATGAAATTTATTGAACGATAAGTAAATAATAGTCGTCGAAATATCAGTCTGAATTTATAATATGTAATAATAATAACTTTATTCGAATTGAAAGGGTAATTTTTTAGGCTTTCTACCTCTCCATCTTTATGCAAAAATCGTGGAAAACTTCTAAAGGATGTGAGAAAGCAAGCTCGAAAAAAGTTTTTCCTCACATTCGACCCAATTGATATTTTGAATTGAATTTTGGGTGTCCTTTCTCAGTGATTATTATCTAGGCTCCTCAATCAATGTGATGTTAGATTAATCAAAACTGTTCAAATAAACATAACTTTCGTCGATTTGGATTGTTTTGTATAAAAAATCACTGAATCTTTCTTCACTTCTCAGTTCTCAACTCATAGTTTCCGGTTGTTAGATGGAAAATGTATCATCACTTTGAAGTCATCTATTGAAAAAAATACCTTTTCATTACTCGAAGCGCGTTTTTCTAACCAAGTTAGCATCATCAGAAGATTTTTATAAAAGTACATCTTAAAACTATGTTGATATTTTTATATGCATCTAGATTCTAGACGAATCACAACCTTGCGTAATGAGAGTCATCAAATTGATTTCTAGGATATTTTTGTTGTTTCTATTGTTAATTTCTATCATTTTCCTACCTGTAATCACGTAAGAGTACAATCAATGACCTGTAAGGAATGGGACCTTTATCACCGTTCATAGATCTCATTTCACATTCCTAAACTTCCGAAAGCAACTAAAATGATACTCATGTACCGGTCTCAACAATTTCAAGCATTTCCCACTTATTCTGTGGGCATGTTCCTTGTAGCAAGCTATAATAATACGCTTAGTTTGACCAACATAAATCCCAGACTTTTTTTCACCGTCTCATCTATTGGTTTGCAACACTTGTGTTGTTGAAGTATACTAGCAGATTTCAGAGCCAATTTCATGTTCAATTTTTCAAAAATTTGAACCTATCCGTATGGTTCGTGATGAAGAACTATAAATTTTGAGTCTTTGTCTTTCTGAAAAGTTGAGGATTCACAAAGCTACTCTCTAAATTTCCTTTCTTGATTAACTTATTCACTATGTTTGAAAGATACCCGTTTCTTCCAGTTGTCTCCCTGATAACTTTTTGGGAGAATTTTTATGAATTTTTATGTTTGTGAGGCTTGCTTTCAAGTTGTAACAAAAGTGAAACAAAAGTGAGAAGTTCACAACTTTCCTTTCAGTTCCATTCACGAGATTGTTCCTGTTTCCAATAAATCATATTTGAGTTGATATTGTTTATACCTACTTGTTGAATAAATATATCCAAAGGCAATCCGAAATACACTCCACCAATGTTCTCGTATATATACATCACCGAAAAGTCATCTCCACTGTACTTCTACACCTAATATCACAGTAACATTTCTTCACGACGACTGATATTCCAATAGTTTCACAATATTATTTCACCAGATAAACGCGGCATAGTCATTGCGTATAGAGTGGACCAAATATTCCCTTCTGATTAGATTAGCATTGGTTCTAGAGCGACCTAAACATATTATTTTGAAAACCCTTCTTCTCCCTTCCAAGAGAGATTTCATGGTGAGGAACATACTGATCAATAATAAGGCTTTTCATGATGACATAGCTATACTTTTTCAAAATTATTTCACGAATATCTCAATGAATAAAATGGAAACACTATTCCACACATCGTAAGAATCTGAGAGTGATTTTTGAAAGTTTGTAAGTAACTTTTGAAATTGCTAGTAGGTAGGTAGATAGGTAAGTCGGTCCAACTGATCATCAACTGCTTACACTTGTTCAAACTCGATCAGATACTTAGTCCAGCTTCTCAATGGACCGATTTGTTTACTTGGTAAGCTAACAAGAGTGGGACTCTTGTCGTCAAATGCTGAAAACCTCATTCAGTTATGAGCAGGTTATGTGCTCTGCTAACGAGGCCTGGACATCCTTGTGAATACATCGATCCACTCCAAGTTTAACAAACCATGGTACATTTTCCTCAATCTACTGACAACCTAAGTATGTGGCTTGAAGAATGGATCTCCTGTGACGCACCAGCGGAAATATGCCTCTCTATGAATATATCCTCTCAAGTAACCCATTGTCATCTAGACCATACCTGTGGGTCATCTTCCAGAATATCCTTGCGACAGCCATGAAGCATACTGCAGAGATTTCAGTTGATTGTTAGTTAATGAGATTGTTGTTTGTTCAAGGTACATTTCCACCTTAATGACCGCAGCAAACTTCCCATATGGTAACGAATGTGAGTCAACGATTGATTAGATTCAGAAATAAGAGGGTTTTCTGTCTCTGGCTAATATGCAGAGAAATGAAGGAATTTCCGCCTCTGGCTTGGGTGAATCATCGTATGAATGAATGTAAGCGTTTGTTGAACTGATCAGAGAGATTTTGTATCTCTACTGATGCAGATTCTGCTTGTGCTGCTCAAGATTTGATGCAAGGCAGCGAGATACCTGCTCTTGAAGAGCAGGTATCCCGCTTTCTGGTGGAATACCTAGCTTGGGTTTGCTAACGGGATCAATAGTTGAAGAAGCTCTTTCTTTCAATCTGATATTACAGGAAGGATAGTCGTTGAGTCTCCTCCGTATATACTCAGGGACGGATTTTGAAGGGTCCCATGTGTAGGTTGGGAAAAGAGGTCCTTTACGACAGAACACCGCATTGCCTTGATAAGGTTCTCTATGACGAGAGGTTGCACAGAAGCTTGAAAGTTTCATTGGTGGCATTGCTTGAGCTCTTAGTAATATAACCTTTCGGGAAGGATACGTACAGTTTAGGAACAGGCGTCATTTAGGAGGACTCTTACCTACATTAATCACACCTTACCAGGCAGGGGGGTTCAAACACGTCCTATTGCAGGGCTGCTCTTACACTTGAAAAAAAGTTTGGGAATCTTAAAGACCAGATAATAGAATAACATGAAGTATGGGATTTATAGAATAAGCTGTCAGGACTGCGACAAAAGGATCTTGATCAAACTAGGTGAACTATAATAACTCGTAACAAACAGAGCATTTCACATAATATATTTCATAGACTGTAGAATGCTAGTGTCGTTCAGCACGCCTGAGAAGAGAATAGCTACTGATAAGTAGATAATTGCTTGAGACCAGTCTTGAAAACAGACTTTTAGATGCCTTCAAAAGTGTAGAAAGAGACCTATGAACGGCAGCAAAGGTATTTTTTCAAACCACCAGTTGTTTACCCTTTTAAACAATAATTGTAAGCAGCAAGTTGGCAACTAGTAGCTATCATTACAAGTAGTGATTGAAATACCATAACAAATTGACATAATCAGAACTAAGGGTGATGCTGACTTGATAGGAGAAAATTAGATAGTATTCTAGTTTTGATGGATGGAAAAAGTGATTCCATTATATTCATTTCACTATCAAGTCGAACAATTTGACTTCTCTCTAATGATGATCATCAATCAACCAAACGTAAGCAACCAAGAAAGGACTATCGTCAACAAGCAAATACATCTGATATCTCGACATAAAATCAAGTGGTGTTGAGTTTGTGTGATTCGTAGGTAAAAATACTAATACTTAAGAAAATGCATTGACGATGACTTCAAATGACGAATGATTAGGTCGGGTGAATATTTGTAATGTATTAAATCATCTGATGGGCAGTATGAAGAAGGAAATAATTCCTAAACAGAACAGTCCCCAGTGGGGAATATAGACTATTTTGCAGCAAACCTACAAATATTTTTTCCTTCAGATCATTTCATTCTCAATTCTAGTCAAAATTTTCAATATTTTCGATACTTGTAGAAAAAAAATAACAAAGTTTGAAATGAAATCATCAAAACTCTTTTAACTTTTTTGGATCACGATATATCAAAATATCATTATGTTGAGGAATTTCAGTGATTATTCTTTGTGATTATTTTATTTGATCGGATCAAGATATGACTGGTAATGATTTGTTTACTCTTTGTCACCTCCTTTATGGCTGATGAAACGTATTTTTTATTACATAAAACTTTGACAAATAGTATGAATAATCAGATTGCCTAAATATATTTTTTTAATATCTTGGTTGGTGTCTCATAGCAATAAATCGAATAGATGAGAGTCATCACCAAGTGTTGAACAAAAGTATAACTGCAAAAATAAAAATTATTTTGTCGATGTGTTTTTTTCATAAAGGGCCTTGAAATGTTTTCAGGTAGTGGACTATTCTTATGAAATGTTTGAAATCTTAGAAATATTGCCAGAATCAACAATTTTGCCAGGACGAATTCAGTTATTTTGAGTAAAGCGATTATTGAGTAAGCGATTATTTTGTGTGTTCTGAAATGGCGTTTTGCAAACATAGGTAAAATGAGAAAGTATTCCAGAAACATTCAGACTCCACATTCACCTATAATATAAATGCTTCTGGAGGTTTCTCAAAAGGAAATAGCTGTATGCTCCATTCAGATTTGCCTCAGTCAGCAAGATTTAGCTTTTTCCTAAACAAAAAATAATCAATCGGGGCCAGAAATGTTATGGTTAACTTCATATCTAGGTACATAACCTTTTGTCAGTGTGTTTTAATTCAGAATGTCCAAATTTTCACCCAAGAAGTATATTTTCAAAAAATAATATTTACAAACCGCATTAATGAATAAGGTAATAATGTATCAATATGGATACCATAGTCTGACATTGTAATTAAAATAACTCAGTGTTCTAAAAATAGCCTGGAGATAACAACCGATGAAACAATTTAACATTTCACGTCTTCAGATTTGTTTCATCATTTCACTTCGATAAAATATCATCAAAGCAATCATGAGTTATTGTTCAACAATGTGATGAAGCGTTATCAGAATTTCCATCTAGTGATTTTGTAGTGTTACGTTGCTGATAATGGAATGAATATTTGCCTAATTTACATGTATATGGCGAATATTTCATTTGTATGCAGGATGAGCAATCGAAAAATTTAAAGGAATCGATTCGAGTTACCGAGGAGGCCATTTAATAGCTTTTTCTCCTATTCAGCTACCTCGAAATCAGTCGTTATAGGACTAATACTGACGAAAACATTCAATTGAACCATCATCACTTCTCATCTATCTTTGCATGATATTTTCTAAAGCTTGATGGATAAAAATTTCTAAGAAACAACCAAAAAAAATTCATTCAATTAAAAAATTATACTTTTTGTTGTTGTTTCATTAGAAAATACAAAACTATTTTGTTACAATTCTTGTGTGATGTATTATTTTTTTATCTTCGAAACCTTTCATGTATATAGTGTTAAAACTAATTTAGTCGAAGTCGATTATTCAATTAGATGAAAATTAATAAAAATGAAAGGAAACTATGAGAAATACCTAAAAACATATTCATAATCATCTTATAGTAAAAAATATTGATGAGTACCTTAACAAACTTTCTGTTTTGTTTTTTCTAAATTCAGAAATGAAAATTAATACTCTACTTGACAACTCACCCATATACGGAGGGTTCAAGAAATGTCTTCCCACTCTGAAGGAGTTCAGTTATTATCATAATTATGCATGATCTACGAAATTAAATGTAAGGATTGAAAATAAATATACAATAATAAGATCGCTCGGATACACGAATTAAGCATAAAAATGGACAATAATATTTCCTTTGATAACTGATATAGAACAAGTTATATCTAAATATGAATCTAAATAGAATTAAACGAGCTGTATTTTCAAATGGTTTTCGAATGCTCATGAACCCTAATAAAATAAATCAATTATTCATTCATGCTACCCACCAAAAAAAAGAAATTCAACGTTACTAGTAGATTAGCCATATTGTCATCCAGTCAGCCAGCGCCTTCTGTAGAGAATGCGACAATGTGCTCGTTCTAATGTCAACGGTTTCCACAAACTCCGTATTTTTGTTAAAATAATTTCAAAATGAATGTTGAGCCTAGTTTTGTTAAAGTTGACTCCCGACAACTTACCTAGAGTCGATTTTGAAATGATCGATGAATTTTACTTGAAAAATTTGCATTTGGTACCGAAATGAAGAATGAAAAATTGAAATTAAAACGGTAGGAGGTATATTTAGTAGGTCCCTTTTATTTATATGACATTCATTTCAGACTTTGTCTTTTATCGAAGGATGAAAAGTTTTGATTAAATTTTCAATTTATCTCTGCCAAGGAGCAGTATGGCGACTGAAAAAAGAAGCAAAAATATGTACAGTGAAATGTAGAAATACTCCAGAACATATCAATCCAAAAATAACCTGAAAAAATATTTTTCGGAATGTAAACTAATGACACGGAATATGCAGCAAAATAGGCACCGCCAAGACCTACAGGACCTTTTACAAAAAAACGTTCTTCAATTAGATAACTGTAATAGTTGTATTCAACCGAGTTGATAA